TTGATATCAAATACGTTGAATTTTTCTCTGTAAGGTAAGAACGTATCATGTTATTACAAAAGAGTAGAGATAGATACCTAGAAAATTAAAGCAAATGATCGGATCGTGTCAAGTAAATTGTTACGGGTCGTTCAGTCAAATCGTACGGGGCTGTCAACCGTAATATGTATCACCGTTTATAAGCAAAATCAGCCACAGATATAAGGTTTTTTTGTTTGCGTGTGAATTCTAAAGTAGAAAAAAAACTCATTGCATGTCTACCACATATTATTCGCTTGTCCCTTTATTGAAGCCTGAACACCTCTATTTGTGAAAAATTGCCCTCCATCTGCTCGGAAATAGAGTTAGTGTCACAGATGATTTATTGACAAAAGAGGAACAAACGTAGTGGCCTATTGCAAGAAACGGTCGAGCAATAATAAGTTTTCTTTTCGGTCCATTAGTCCGTTAAACAGGCACTGACGCCGGAAAGCGCGTGATCGAATCATAAAAAAGATGATATGACAAGTTGTCACATGGCAATGTTAGTTTACCTTGACCTATTTTCAATGTACTTGATATAGACCTTCACAGCTTGTTTACTTGGATAAGAAAGGCTATCGTTTAGCGCTGGACTCTTCAGAGGAATCCAACTACATTGAAGCAAAAAGCGGTGTAATTGACAAAACCAGTGAAAACTTCGACGCGGACAGTAATAATTCAAGTGACAGCTCACAGACGAGATCTGTGAGCAATGACAGTCTTATGAATATTTATGACGAAACCGATGCTAAAAGTGACGCTGAGCGAGACGAAAGTATTGACTACAACATGGGATGGGATGAGGTCCAGGAAGAACCCAAGAGGTAATAATTTAATCCATAGTCTGATAAAATAAAGGTTGATTTGGAGTAAGTCATTCCATAAACTTGTCTTAGGTCCCCAGTGGTCGCGGTACCTTAGTTAAGCAGAAATTAAAGCCGACAAATTTATAAGATTAACTGAATTTTTTCAATTACCAAACCTATCTCCAGCTAGGAGCATGCATGGTTTGGCTCAATCATGTATGGCATAGATAAAACTATTTCGGCTATGGGGACTGCATTTGCATCTGAGCCAAGCGTGAAGAACGACTGAGACGATCCAGATCAAATCAGCCGTTCTCGATGTTTTTTAGAAGGTAAACTCCATTTAAACTTATTAAACTCCATTAAATGAATGCAAAATACTGCAACTGAACAAGGCCGTAGTCTCTTCAGGTAGTGGCCATATTAGATTTTGCATGGAGCAATTTCTTGGAGCTACTCTTTGAACATCGATCTGTAAAGAGCATATGAGCTACGAGACACAAATTTACGACTGAACACTGGACACCGCATTTCGACTTTTAAAAACTTCTTCTCTGCTCATTTTTTTAGGATTCCCTGTGCCTTAAAGGGTCCATTCGTGAACTTAGTGCTTTTAAGGACTCACCGAACTGGGAGTGGAACACTTGCCAATATTTTGTACAGATATGGCGACTTGAACGACCTGGATTTTGCTCTTCCTAAACAGAAAAGCTACGATTTCTATTGGCCGCTACACTTTAATCCAAGCTACGTGGACAAAAAGTACCTTAATTCAACTGCTCCAAACTTACTCATTAATGCCAGATACAGCCCAGATACAATAGCATCCTTCATGCCAAAGGTAACTAATACTTGCCTGATACAGACTCAAATAATTATCCAGCCTTTGGGGAATAGTGGAGATAGAGGTTGACTCCTTTATGCGCCACTTTGCATTCCATAACAACGCTGAAAATGGGACTTCCATCCAGTCGTTAACGTTGACAAAACTAGTTGCTCTCTGAGTGATTTATTCTCCCACCACTCACCAATCTTGGCGTAAAATGGCTTTCATTAGTCCAGCTTAAGACTGAATTATACACATCCATATGGGGCCTTTCGCTGAAGATATTTTCCTTATCACACAGCAGCTTTAAAAGAAGGTCATATTTCATACCTACGAGCTCTATCCCTTGTGCTTGTTTACTTGCTTGTTTGTTTGTTGTTAGTCGGTCTACTTGTCTTTCACTTTCTTTCTTATTGTATATCTATTTGTTTTGCTTTGGAGCTTGTTTTCTTGTTGTTTCGGTTGTTTCTTTGTTTGTCTTGCCTTTCACATTCTTTTATGGTATATCAAATTTCTTTCTTTTTTTTTTTTTGCTTTTTTTTTAATAAAATTTGGAATCTTTCTGAAGCCAACACACCAATCAGCGCCAGAATAAATTGTAAGAGCAGCCGTGTAAGTTTGAACCGTACTGGATTCAGTACAAAATTAAATTTGATTCCCATCTTCCCAACAGTCACTAACTCAATACATTGTTTCATTGACCCAATAACTATTCTTGCAGGACTCTTACTACATCGCAGTTATAAGGAAACCAACGAATCATTTTGAATCTGTCTTCTACGGATATCAAATTGATGATTTGCTCGGTATGAACAACTACAGCGACCCATTTGATGCATTTCTGACCAAACCCAAGCAGTATCTGTTACAGTATCTTCATCAGGAGCCACGATTTGATATCAACATTAACATGGTAAAGAATGGTAAGTGATAAGTCGAGACATGATCATAAATATTTATCTGAATGATTTTTCTGCTGGAGTTTTGATGAGCTATACGCACATTAAGATCAACGTTTGAAATAAGCAAACGGTTAACGCCAATTTTCTTCAATTCTTAACCACAGTGAGTACATTGCATTGTAAACTGTCGTTTAACTTGTCGAAGATTCCATTGATTTCGCTGGGCTGGTCAAAGTATTCATGCGTTGCAAATTTTACACTAAGTTTTAATACTGCCTGATTTATTAAAGTTCACACGGCAACCAGGTGGACAATCAGACATAGTTTGATGCTACACTGGTTTGCAGATTTAATGAATGTAACCGAAGAAGTTACAATTCATAGACCCAACGTTTCGACACTCCTGTCTAGTGCCTTCATCAGGGGTGATCTAAACGCTGCAACAAGAGGTCCTTTTATATGATCACTAATTAGCGGCTTTTTTTCTGACGAGGTGTAAATAAGCGTCAGGAAGCAGACCGCCATCGTCACGATTTAAAGGAGCGTGGGCGGAGTTAATGTGCCAAGCCTCCAAACAAAGGCGCTGGTGGTAACGCCGATTAGTGGTGATAATTTTAGAATTATCCCACCCAATTGTATGGTTGGTTAGGCAAAGTGGAATAATTCTAAAATTATCACCACTAATCGGCGTTACCACCAGCGCCTTGAAAAAAGCCGCTAATTAGTGATCATATAAAAGGACCTCTTGTTGCAGCGTTTAGATCACGCCTGATGAAGGCACTAGACAGGAGTGTCGAAACGTTGGGTCTATGAATTGTAACTTCTTCGGTTACATTCATTAAATCTGCAAACCAGTGTAGCATCAAACTATGTCTGACTGCCTGATTTTTTCCTTCTTTAACGTCATTTATTTATTATAAATAAATCTGTGTTTCTATAAGTGCTTCAAACAAAATGTGCCTATATACATCCGCATTAATTATGTATATAATGAAAGCTAAACGTAATGTCTGCACTCTCTTCAGGACAAATGTTCGACCTTGGCCTTCAGCACAAATATTACAATGATCCAGTGATGATAGAGAAGTACATTGGTGACCTGGCCGAGAATATAGACTTAGTGCTTATCATGGAATATTTTGACGAATCTCTTGTTTTACTCAAAAGAGAACTCTGTTGGGATTTAGATGATGTTGTTTATTTCAAACTGAATCAAAGATCACCTGAGTACAAAGAAACAAACATAACAGATCAGCAAAAGGTAAGCAGTATTGTCTATTTCTGTACATTCTCATTATTCCATTTGTTTATCAAAGCACTTTTTTATTAAAACTTTTTAGAGAGCAACTGGAAACAGTTTCTTTCCACAATATCAAAAAGCACAAACTTAAATGAACTTGCTGAGAAGGAAATCTACGTTCATTTATATCGATCAGATTTTGTATGATAAGTGGAATAACATGTATGAACACAATTTGAATGATTCTTATTTACTCAAGGTCCATTGAAGGATAGAAGCATAAACAGCGTCGCCATTGACAGAATTTTTTTATGAAAAAAAAAATGAAACAAACTTCAAGTTGCCGTTGGTCTGTACAAAAATAGATCACAGAAGACGTAAAATTTGTTAAAGGAATATCTGAGCACCACACTCGGCTGCGCCAAGAGAATAATTATAATCTCTTGACTGCGCCTTGCGTGCCCCTTTTTTTCGTTATTACCACATTTTGACGCCATCGACAAAATATCACAGAACAGACATAGATAAACATCACTGAAGGTAACATGGAATGTACTTGCTAAATACTGATCAGGCACGATTCCTTTTTGCTTTACTCTTCTTTCAGATGCAAATCAGTGAATGGAATAATGCCGATGCTGCGTTATACGACTTTTTCAACAAAACTTTCTGGAATAAAATTTCTGCGCAAGACCAAACCTTTTATCAAGAAGTTACAAAGCTACGTAACAAAGTGAATAGTCTCGAGAAGGAATGTATTCACACACTGGAAACAAACCGTGATACGGGAGAAATGGAAATCAAACTAAATGAACACAGGATTCCAAACATGAACAAATATTTATGTGAGAAAATGACTCTGAAAGAGGAGAGTTATATTTCATATCTAAGGAAGAAATATAATCTGAAGCTCAAAGAAGACAGCGAGCGTTTAAGAAACTGGTTTTATGAAAAGTTGAATAAGGCAAGACTTGAAGATTCACAATCACTTGGCTTGTAAATAATGCTGTTACTTAGTTCGCAATATCGCCTTAAATATTTCGTAAATGTATTGAAGAGTTTTTTTTGTAACGTGTATGAAGAAAAGGAAATATTTTGGTATTCGGAGAAACCAGCCCGACCACACTACGCATGATGGCTTTCTTTTACCTGGGAGCCTGTTTACTGAATGCAACTCCCATTACACTCCTTAGACTAAATATATT